TGCTTTAATGATGTATCTCAGGTTTCTCCTGTCTATGCAGTCAGTCTCTCATACTTTGGGGCAGCCCTTGTTCAAGAAGGCAGTGCCTATGAACAGCTGGTTAACGCAAGTGCCATTCCATACTGTGAACACTAGGTGGCACCACCTAAGTGCGTGAATTTCCGAAGTGCCACACCATTAACCTAGGAATGAATGCACTGAAAAACAAACCTTTATAGGGCTGAAGCAGCCATTTCACATCTATTCAGAGGGAGATTTGGAAACGGAAGAGCCGACTAAAGGCTACTTAGCCCTACCCAATACGCAGTGTCCAGTGACACATTATACATTTACAAATATTGATCTGCCCTGCCTGGGGCTACTTCCATGCCAGTGCTAAAATGGACATTTTGTGAAGTGCAAAACTAATCACTATAGCAACTGAGTTGTAGGAACTCATGCAGGTTTGAGGGCAAAAACTACTTCCTCGGCTTTGGCGGGGTTTCTGGGTGTCTGTCTGCCTATGAGCTTTTGCTGCTGGCAGAAAGGGTAGGAAGAGAAAACCAACCGTGAGAAGGGCTAAGGGGGAGACAGCTTAGAGCCATAAATGAGGGTACAAACTTATGTGGTGGTCAGAGGACAAGCAGCAAGGAGTAGGTTCTTTCCTCCCACTCTAGCCGTCACTTGCAGCAAGAGCCTTTGTGCTCTAAGCCATCATGCCGGCCTCACAGGATGCAATATTTTGTATATTCTCAGTATACATGTAATCACAAGGCTAGGCACAATGGCATATATCTGACATTCCAGCATTTGAGAGGCAGAAGCGAGAGAATCTGGCTATAGAGAACCTGGGCTATAAACTGAGGACCTGTCCCAAACCAAGCAAAAATAAAACAACTTGCCATCATACCAGGGACACCAGGACTTTTCGATTAGAAGACGGTTGAGTGTCTAAAATGTTTTCTCTCTCCCTTTTCTGAGCTCTGTATGTGCATCAGGAAACAGAAACTATGTCTTTGTACTTCAAATGGGAATATAAGAATCTCTAAAATGGGCCGGACAGTGGTGGCACACGCCTTTAATCTCAGCACTTGAGAGGCAGAGGCAGGTGGATTTCTGAGTTCGAGGCCAGCCTGGTCTACAGAGTGAGTTTCAGGACAGCCAGGGGTACACAGAGAAACCCTGTCTCGAAAAACCAACCCCCCCCAAAAAAAAATCTCTAAAATGATTACTATAGTGATTAAATGTCAAAATAGAAACAGGTACTTGGAAGTGTATCTAGCTATAGAGAGCATATTACAGGATGTGACAGTCTTTCGTTTGTCTTTGTTCCCGGGAATATGACAAAAGTTTTAAGGTCAATTTTAGATGATAAGACCATATTTTTAGCATATTTTTTCTCTGTAAGAAAATCATGCATGTATACAATAAAACATATGCACCCTTCATTTTGCCCCTCAAACTTCCCCTAGAAACCTCCCAATGGTCCCCTCTTCCAACTGCCCATCTTTATTAATAATCCATCAAGTCCAGTGGGAGCTGCCCAGATGTGCACAGGCATGGGCCCGTCCACTGGAGGGTGGGAAAACAGCTAGTAGTTTGAATGATCCTTCCTTCCCATATCTACCAACTGGCAATAGCGCCTCAGTTTAGGGGTGGGGTCTAGAGAGCACCACCCACATCTATGCTAGAATTCGGGCCAGCTTGATCCTGTGCAGCTAACTGCAGCTGCCAAGCATGGGCGATCGCCACAGCACGGCCAGAGACTGCATTTCAAAGCACTCCTTATCCTTACCCTCTGGTTGCTCTTTTGCGATGTTTCTCAACACTTAGGGTGGGGTGGCATGTGATAAAGGTGTCCTATTTAGGACTCTTAGCCTCAGCACTTGGACCAGTGATGGGACTCTCTGCATTGAGTGCTGCCCACTGCATAAAGCCACTTATCTAAGCAATGCTGCAGGTAGCCCGGGCCTATGGGTATAGACATAAATGCTTAGAAGGCAACTGGACGATGTGAACAGTTAGTAAAGCAACAGCAGCAGGCTACACCCCAGAGCCCATCTCTTCATCTATTTGATTTAAAGCATGTCTCATCTACTAATGAACTAAATAACAGTCCAGTTTTGTGTGTCCCTGAACCTTACCGCTGTTACACAACATTCTTATGGCAACAGCTGACTGATACAAAAGCAACTGAGTAAGTAGCTGTGGACTGTCTACCACAGGTGTAGGGATGGTTTACAGTGATAAAGACGGAGGCTTTCATAACCTGCTTTGCCTTGTCTATTTCTGGTTTGCCTATCTTAAAACACACACACATTTGTGATACCTGAAGATTTCGAGAAAGTACTCAATTAGAAAAAAACTTGTTTGCATCCTCTTTGACTTAATCTCTCCAGCCTCCTCCCTTTGGATCTGCTGTGCCCAATAGACACAGCTATGAGACAGCCTGAAGCCTGATTTCTATTTCTAACATTAGACATTAGAGCATTTCCCTGGGATCAACTCTATAAGAAATACACATCCACTTATACTGCTAATCTAACCACATAACATGGCTCGTGTGTGTGTGTGTGTGTGTGTGTGTGTGTGTGTGTGGCTTATTTGCTTGCTAACAACTATCATATAACTTGCATATATCGAAATTTCATCTGCTTTTTTGGCAGCTGCGTATAATGCTGCGAACTCTGGTGAATACAGATGTTTGGTCCCTGTTTGGCTGGATTATGAGTAAATCATTACATTTCTGAGTAAATGCCATAGTGTTTTCCACAATGTAATATCATTTTTACATTTTCATTGGTGTCCAAAACTAAACATTTTTTAAAAAGTGAACCATAGAATGGCAAAGGTTGCTGGTACTGAATCTCAATATCTCTCTCTCTCTCTCTCTCTCTCTCTCTCTCCCCCTCCCT